CACGTCTTCACTACCACGTTTCTACCAACATAGGTCTCATTCAAGGTTGCATGACCTATCTTTTTACAAAACGTGGTCCTCAGTACCACTGGATTCTTGACATCCTTGAGCGGATGTGCCTTCCTGTTGTTCAGAATCTTCCATCTATCTTGGAGAAGCTGAATGCAGATAGATTTTTTGATATAAAAAGCAAGAAGACCAATGTTGCTAAAGCAAGGAGGAAGCTATATAAGAGAAAGCGTAAAGTCTTTGAACATCAACGCAGGCAATTGTTTGTAAAAGAGAGTGCAATGAATCACGATTATGGAAGGGATGCATCTACTGAAGAAGTAATTGCAGATGCCTCGACTGACAAATGCAAATGTGGCTCAACAGACCACAGAAGGACGTCCCACAAGAGTTGTCCACTGAGGAGAACCTGTGATACTGCTACTGGAATTGATACCTCCTGTGACATCAATGCATCCAAAAGTGATGACAATGTATCTGAATATGACGATGATTCTTATGACTTTGAATGTTCCCTAAGTGATAAAACGGTTGTTGAATCGTGTGCATGTCCCAATTTTCCATGTCACAAATGGGATTGCCCTGATAATGTAAGAAATAGGAAAAGGGCTATGGATAGCTCACTCACTCCTGGTGCCTTGTGGACACCGCCACTTAAGAAAATGGGTCTGAATTCACCGAAAGTCCCTTCTCCATTAGTTTTATCAAAAATTAAAGACCAAAGTACCCCTGCTCTTGAAGGTGTTATTGTCCCATGCAATGCATCAACTGCTAAAAAAGTAGGCTGTGCTACTGTATCCACTCCATCTTTTATCCTTGGTAAAACGTTGGAGATGTCTGTATCAAAATGCTGTTCGCCATCCAATACTCTTGTTCTACCACAAATTCCACGGCAAAGTACTCCTGTGGTGCACATTTCACACACTGCATCAACTGTTCATAAAGTAGGCTCTCACTCCACATGTACTCCAACTTCTGTGGACAACATGCCGGAGGTACATGTATCTTTAAGCAAGTGCCCTTCACCGTCGATGACCCCAGGCCCATCAAAATTGAATAAGCAAAGTTCCCATTTAGCAGTGGCTAAAACAGTGGGTTCTCCTTCTGTACATACTCCAATTTTGTTGCAGAATAAAAAGTGGGATTCCTCAGTACCGCTGACCTCTGTTCCATCCAAAAGTACTCCAACATCTAATTACAAGATGCGGGAGGTACAGGTATCTTTAAGTAAGTGCCCTTCACCATCAATGACACGAAGTCCATTGAAATCAAAAGAGCAAAGTTTCCATTTAACAGTGGCTGAAGAAGTAGGTTCTCCTTCTGTATGCACTCCAAGTTTGTTTGAAAATAAGAAGTTGGAGCTCTCT